CCACTGAGCACAGTGCCACCATCCCCCTCCATTCTTATAACTTACCAAAATACAGAATTCACACACATTTTAAAGTATATTTGCAATTATTTGGAAGTAATTATAATAATTACTGTTAAAAGTATTATGTTTCCTATTTCTACTTCTAAAGATAATTGAGCCTATTGTACTATGATGTATAAATTAAATAGCTTACTATATGTAATTGGTCTCCCAGGGTGCCCACGGCCACTCTTTTTTTCCAACTAGGAAATATTTGGAGTATCCCACAGTTTCCCCATGTCCAAAGCCCTGTGCAACTGACCACATTCTTTCATTTCATTAAGACTTAATTTTCTACCTGGTGAGGTGGCTGATGCCTATGATCCCAGCACTTGGGAAGCACAGATGGGTGGATTGCCTGAGCTCACAGGCTGGAGATCAGCCTGAGCAAGAGTGAGACCCAGTCTCAAATAAATAGCAGGCCATTGTGGCGGGCGCCTGTAGTACCAGCTACTTGGAAGGCTGAGACAAGAGAATCACTTAAGCCCAAGAGTTTGAGGTTGCTGTGAGCTATGACTCCAAGGCACTCTACCAAGGGCAACAAAGTAAGGCTTAGTCTCAAAAAAGAAAAGACTTGGACTCGGTGTCCATAGGTCAATGGTTAGGGCACCAGCCCCATATACTGGGGCTGTCAGGATTGGACCTGGCCTGGGCCTGCTAAACAACGAGGACTATAACAAAAAATAAATAGCCAGGCGCCTCTATCCCAGCTACTTGGGAGCCTGAGGCAAGAGATTTGCTTAAGCCCAACAGTTTGAGATTGCTGTGAGCTGTGATGCCACAGCACTCTACTGAGGGCGACATAGTGAGACTCTGTGTCAAAAAAAAAAAAACCCTCAAAACAAAAAGAACAGGACAGTGCCTGTGACTCAGTGAGTAGGACACTGGCTCCATATACTGAGGGTGGCAGTTCAAACCCAGCCCTGGCCAAACTGCAACAAAAAATAGCCAGGTGTTGTGGTGGGCACCTGTAGTCCCAGCTACTCAGGAGGC